ATATTATACCCAGCTTTCTGAGGCTGTGGAGCTATTATGTTGAGATTGCAGTGGACCTGCAGTAAGAGCTCAGATTATTTTGAGGTTTCCTGTTGCTCTTATGAAGCTGTGAGTAATAGGAGGTGGGAGATCACCCAGCGGTGCTGTTAGGGAGGGTCACACAGGCACACCTTGAAGTGTGGCTCATTGACACACACCTCGGAAAAGGGAGGGCCCTGGGCAGGGCAGGATCAGACAGGGCAGGCTTGGAATTGCTTAGCCTGCAGGCAATCAGGGGGAAGAGTCCTAGAGGAGGGAAGTGTGGGACAGAGAGCTAGAGAACGCAGAGCGGGCGAGACAGATCTCACACAGAGGAAATACCAAGACAAGGGAGCACAAGGAAACGCTCTCTTCTGGGGAAAAAAAAGTTTGAGAAAGTTGGATTATAAGCTTCATGGATCAGCAGAGGTACCGCACCAATGCTGCTCTGCCTTCCTATGAGGAGGGAAACTTCCGCCAGAGAACCAGCTCGGAGGACAACCTGTACCTGGCAGTGCTGAGGGCTACTGAGGGCAAGAAAGGTACATACTGGGTGGGGGCTGTGACTTAATGTGACTCAGACTGTGATAATAGAGAGATGGACATGGGGTACTGACTGCGTCCACCCTGGGATAGACCCGTACTGACTGCGTCCACCCTGGGATAGACCCGTACTGACTGCGTCCACCCTGGGATAGACCCGTACTGACTGCTTCCACCCTGGGATAGACCCGCGCTGACTGCGTCCACCCTGGGATAGACCCGCGCTGACTGCGTCCACCCTGGGATAGACCCGCGCTGACTGCGTCCGTCCTGGGATAGACCCGCGCTGACTGCGTCCGTCCTGGGATAGACCCGCGCTGACTGCGTCCGTCCTGGGATAGACCCGCGCTGACTGCGTCCGTCCTGGGATAGACCCGCGCTGACTGCGTCCGTCCTGGGATAGACCCGCGCTGACCGCCTCCGTCCTGGGACAGACCCATCTTTAACCCCTTAAGGACACAACTTCTGGAATAAAAGGGAATCATGACGGAATATTTCCGTCATGTGTCCTTAAGGGGCTAATGTGAGGGATTTAGACAATTTGGAGATGTCCTTGATAAAGAGGTTTATCTCAGTCGTAATATTTGTGTAGCGTTAGCCATGTTTATTATCTTTGCTTACATTGCTGCAGACAATTGCAGGCTCTCCCTGAGGAAAGACACTAGTTGACCTGTGTCTGTGTCTCCACAACCTTGTCTTTCATGGAATGTTTTCTGTTTTCAAGCAGGTCATTCACCTGTGCGAGACCTAGTGGTGACCTATTTAACCCATGTAAATTAAATTAGCTCTCAGCAGGCTCAGAGTCATTCTGACTGTTTTGGATCTGCGTTTCCTAAATGTAAACGCAAATCAATCCAGAGTACTGACTGGCTACACCTGAGCGTGATCTGCTTAGGGGTGACCAGGGAGTGGTGTGTCTTACAAACTCCATATGGGCTCCACGCAGAGGGATTCCACTTTAAATGTTCTCTAAATTCCAGGGAGTTTGTGGAACAGTAGCAGGCCTGGCAATACTGCATCTGGCTGGGGGTATATGGGAGATAAGCAGGCCAGGCAGTACTGGATCTCGGTGGGGTTTATGAGAGATTAGCAGGCCTGACTGTACTGGATCTGGCTGGGGGTGTATGGGAGATTAGCAGGCCTTACAGTACAGGATCTGGCTGGGGGTGTATGGGAGATTAGCAGGCCAGGCAGTACCGGATCTGGCTGGGGGTGTATGGGAGATTAGCAGGCCTTGCAGTACTGGATCTGGCTGGGGTTGTATTGGAGATTAGCAGGCCTGGCAGGAGGTGTATGCAGGATTAGCAGGCCTGGCAGTAGCGGATCTGGCAGGGGGTGTATGCGGGATTAGCAGGCCTTGCAGTACTGGATCTGGCTGGGGGTGTATTGGAGATTAGCAAGCCTGGTAGTACCGGATCTGGCTGGGGGTTTATGGAAGATTAGCAAGCCTGGCAGTACCGGATCTGGCTGGGGGTGTATGGGAGATTAGCCAGCCTGGCAGTACCGGATCTGGCTGGGGGTTTATGGAAGATTAGCAAGCCTGGCAGTACCGGATCTGGCTGGGGGTGTATGGGAGATTAGCAAGCCTGGCAGTACCGGATCTGGCTGGGGGTGTATGGGAGATTAGCAAGCCTGGCAGTACCGGATCTGGCTGGGGGTTTATGGAAGATTAGTAGGTGGGATGTTTTTTTGTACTAATTGTTTTTGGTTTTTTTATGTTGATTTTCCTTAAATTTTCCTCTTCTCTGTTTCTGCAGATGAAAGGGATCGGGTGCAAAAGAAAACTTTTACCAAATGGGTAAACAAACATCTAATTAAGGTGAGTAAGAAGTTCTCAACACTGGAGAAATCCAGCTAGAAAAACATATTTAACGGCAAAAGGGTGGGGTGTATCACACTGCATGGGGGTCTGGATCTTATTCTGCACCGTATTATTGTATCATTGACACCGTTTGACTCCTCCCCTCGCGCTTTCTGTGCAGCGAGCGGTGGGAGGCTCACATTGCGCTTCTGTGCAGCCAGCGGAGGGAGGGTCACCATGCGCTTTCTGTGCAGCGAGCGGTGGGAGGCTCACCGTGCGCTTTCTGTGCAGCGAGCGGTGGGAGGCTCACCGTGCGCTTTCTGTGCAGCCAGCGGAGGGAGGCTCACCGTGCGCTTTCTGTGCAGCCAGCGGAGGGAGGCTCACCGTGTGCTTTCTGTGCAGCGAGCGGTGGGAGGCTCACCGTGCGCTTTCTGTGCAGCCAGCGAGGGAGGGTCACATTGCGCTTTCTGTGCAGCCAGCGGAGGGAGGCTCACATTGCGCATTCTGTGCAGCCAGCGGTGGGAGGCTCACATTGTGCATTCTGTGCAGCCAGCGGAGGGAGGCTCACATTGCGCTTTCTGTGCAGCGAGCAGAGGGATGCTCACATTGCGCTTTCTGTATTATTGTATCATTGACACCGTTTGACTCCTCGCCTTGCGCTTTCTGTGCAACGAGCGGTGGGAGGCTCACATTGCGCTTCAGTGCAGCCAGCGGAGGGAGGCTCACCGTGCGCTTTCTGTGCAGCCAGCGGAGGGAGGCTCACATTGCACTTTCTGTGCAGCAAAGAGGGAGGCTCGCGTCGATCATTCTGTACAGCAAGCAGTAGGAGGCTCCCCTCGTGCTTTCTGTGCAGCGAGTGGAGGGAGGCTCCCCTCGCTCTTTCTGTGCAGCGAGTGGAGGGAGGCTCCCCTCGCTCTTTCTGTGCAGCGAGTGGAGGGAGGCTCACATTGCGCTTTCTGTGCAGCGAGCAGAGGGAAGCTTGCATTGCGCTTTCTGTGCAGCGAGTGGGGGGGCCTTGCATTGCGCTTTCTGTGCAGCGAGCGGGGGAGGCTCACATTGCGCTTTCTGTGCAGCGAACGGATGGAGGATCACATTGAGCTTTCTGTGCAGCGAGCGGAATGAGACTCACATTGTGCTTTCTGTGCAGCGAGCGGAGGGAGGCTCACATTGCGCTTTCTGGGCAGCGAGCGGTGGGAGGTTAACATCGTGCTTCTTGTCCCGCGGATCGATACTAGCTAGTTGCCATGGCGATTATAAGGTTATCTTGGCTTCTGATCGTTACTGTGCTTGTCCATAGGGTAATTTGGCTGCTGGTTGTGATAGTTACAGCAATGGCTGTTGGGGTAATGTGGCTGCTGGTTGTGATAGTTACAGTACCGGCTGTTGGGGTAATGTGGCTGCTGGTTGTGATGGTTACAGTACCGGCTGTGGGGGTAATGTGGCTGCTGGTTGTGATAGTTACAGTACTGGCTGTTGGGGTAATGTGGCTGCTGGTTGTGATAGTTACAGTACTGGCTGTTGGGGTAATGTGGCTGCTGGTTGTGATAGTTACAGTACTGGCTGTTGGGGTAATGTGGCTGCTGGTTGTGATAGTTACAGTACTGGCTGTGGGGGTAATGTGGCTGCTGGTTGTGATAGTTACAGTACCGGCTGTTGGGGTAATGTGGCTGCTGATTGTGATAGTTACAGTACCGGCTGTTGGGGTAATGTGGCTGCTGGTTGTGATGGTTACAGTACCGGCTGTTGGGGTAATGTGGCTGCTGATTGTGATGGTTACAGTACTGGCTGTTGGGGGTAATGTGGCTGCTGATTGTGATGGTTACAGTACTGGCTGTTGGGGGTAATGTGGCTGCTGGTTGTGATAGTTACAGTACTGGCTGTTGGGGTAATGTGGCTGCTGGTTGTGATAGTTACAGTACCGGCTGTTGGGGTAATGTGGCTGCTGGTTGCGATAGTTACAGTACTGGCTGTTGGGGTAATGTGGCTGCTGGTTGTGATAGTTACAGTACTGGCTGTTGGGGTAATGTGGCTGCTGTTGTGATAGTTACAGTACTGGCTGTTGGGGTAATGTGGCTGCTGGTTGTGATAGTTACAGTACTGGCTGTGGGGTAATGTGGCTGCTGGTTGTGATAGTTACAGTACTGGCTGTTGGGGTAATGTGGCTGCTGGTTGTGATAGTTACAGTACTGGCTGTGGGGGTAATGTGGCTGCTGGTTGTGATAGTTACAGTACTGGCTGTTGGGGTAATGTGGCTGCTGGTTGTGATAGTTACAGTACCGGCTGTGGGGGTAATGTGGCTGCTGGTTGTGATAGTTACAGTACTGGCTGTGGGGGTAATGTGGCTGCTGGTTGTGATAGTTACAGTACCGGCTGTTGGGGTAATGTGGCTGCTGGTTGTGATAGTTACAGTACTGGCTGTTGGGGTAATGTGGCTGCTGGTTGTGATGGTTACAGTACTGGCTGTTGGGGTAATGTGGCTGCTGGTTGTGATAGTTACAGTACTGGCTGTTGGGGTAATGTGGCTGCTGGTTGCGATAGTTACAGTACCAGTTGTTATGGTAATGTGGTTTTAGTCATAAAGAGCTGGACTCCAATTTTCTTGCACTAATAAGACATAACACTCACAGATTCCACCACAGAGGAAATGGAGCCAGTTTGTCCAAGGCAGCAGCTGGTGA